CTACTTAACATATTCTTTGAATAATATTTAACAAAAGTTCAGTCTACTTCTAGGTTTGTTAGTTTCAATAGTTAGTAATGTGTTACTGGTTTCAATTTTATCAATAAACAAATATACAATCAATACACATTTGAGTCGTTGATTCATATTTAGACAGTACCTATATGTTGTATTTCATTAAATTTGCTAATCAATAACAAGACAGGAGGTAGAAATTGTACTATTTTATTCCAATATTATTATATGAACAAGTTGTATTAACGGTCTAATAATTAAACACATTATTAATCGTAGTATTATATTTTAAACGACCTGCCCGTCTTCGTTTGCATAGGATCTACTGTATGTGGCATTATTTACATTTTAGATAATCGAAGATCATTTATTTCATCAATTTTCGATTTTTCAAAAAATTTACAAAGAAATGATGGTTACTACATAGTTACCATCTTTTATAATATTGGAATGTAAGTATCTCTTTCAATGTATTGCTTAAGGTGCATTCAGCAAACAACTTTATAACATTCGTTGTTCTTCTTAGTAAATTCACATCTTTCTTTCCACATATTATTCTTACTGCTTTCGATGTTAAAAAATTTCAACTTTTAGAGCGTGAACACCAAATATAAAATGAAACTATTATGAGATAATTGAGATTTCAAGCGTTTTCTTCATAGACATATTAACCGAGTTAAGATGATATAAAGCATTCACGTGTCTGGGATTCCTCAAATAAGTTGGGATGGTCGACGAACTTTTAATTTCGTAACGGAACAAAGTTAGCTAAAGATCATACATTTTTCTTAAAAAAAATTTGTGCTGACGAAAAATTTTTTTTAAAGCAATAGTAATAGAATTAGCCTTAATCAAATATAAACTTTGTTTTTACTTTTTTTGTTGCAATATTTCTATTAGCCGACTTCAAAAAAGCCGTATATCTATCCGTAGTTCTATATCTTACGCGATATCTCAGTTAATAGTGAAGGGATTAAATAATTCTTCCTTTTACGATATCTTTGCCAATTTTGAACCAAATTTGATGAATCTTTTTAATAAATATGTATACTTCAGGGGTGGTCCCATATTCATTTGGAGTAAATAATTCATCCCTTAACTAAAAAACTATTGATCAGAAACCAAAAATGAAACTTTAAATAAATTGTAAAAGTTGGCCCCTAAAAAATAAATAAATGTAGTGTATAATAGCCCCGACTTCACTAAGTGAAATCATTTTCTGAAGTCGTCTAGTATTTTCTATTAAAAGATTAATTTTAGTAATGTCCTCTTTTTTCTTATACCAAACATTAACCGTTTAAAAGTTAATGCAGAGAGAAAGAACACTCCCCTGCTTACACCCCTTTGCAAGAGCCCTCTTTCTAGGATATCCGATATCCTAGAAAGAGGGTTCGGATGTGTTGCACTTATAAATACCCAAAATATAAGATGCAGGAAAGGGAAATAATTTTTAGTGGGTATGAATAAATACTTCTGTGTAAAAGTCAGTCTAAAACGAAGAATACCACATTTTCCCAATTTGTATCAGCAACTTAATGAAACAGACCCTCAGCTTTTACGGTTTTACTTATCAAACCTTCTCCGTTTTTGTATTATGTTATTGTACATTATTTTAGAACTGAACTTTTAGGAGTCGTAGCGTTCATGATTCAGTTTCACTTTAATTGAAACTACATTTTATTTTAATTCATTTCAAATTTCCCATTCACTAACCGTACCCAAAATACTATCAAAATAATGTTTGTGTTTCGGATGAGATAAGAAACGAACGAAATAGACGTAACAGAAGAGAAGAGTAGAAACGAAAGAGCTTGGACTTTCCCCGGTTGCGATGACTCATTTGTGCCCACTCATAATATAACTGTCGGTTGTTGGTATTTCTAGCTATATTATATACATATATATATACCAACTATCTATTCTAGCTATATATAGATATATATAGCTAGAAAAGATAGTTGGTATATATAGCCCATTGCTACTTCAGCTGTGTGATCCGCTGGACAATACCGGTTTATCTGATCCCATTGCTTGCAGATATATTTAGAATTGTTTATCGCAGAGAAATTTCGAGCATAGTCTTCCTAATTCGGCTAGCATTTATCGGACAACGCGCAATGTTTGTAGAATCCTGTTTTAATTTTATTTTTTATTTTGACGACTACGTGACGAGAAGATGTCTTGTAATATCCCAAACGCTTCACAGCCGAATTGAGTCCATGTTGATTCTCGGTCGAAGTTTGGACTCGTCAACAACTTCGAGCGTAATGTTCTTAACTACTACCGACGTAGTTGACATCGACGTTATATAATAAATAATCTTTGTAGTGTACATGTTCATACTAAGATCTGTCCGTTGGGAGAAACTATAGAGATGAGGATATATAGAGACAATACTAGTTTTAATTGGCTTGCCGAATTCAATTGAGGTAAGTTGCCTACCTCGGCTATTCAAAAAAATGTTCGAGCATTTGAAAAACTTATTTGTGTTAACCGACGGATTACGTATGAAGAACTTAAGTGAGAACTGAGTATTGGGTCAGCAGCGACACGAATCATCTTTACGATTAATTTTCTCTTCGTGACATTTATTCAGTCGGGTAGATTGTTGGCTAACCGAAAAAACACGTTTAAATTTATACGGACAAGCGATGATAAAGCCGTGTATTCCATGATCTAAAACAAAGCGACACTTGACTGTATAGTGCTTAACTCCAACGAAATGTCGCTATGCACGAAGCACATAGAGACAAACTGTACTTCAGGATCAAAGAACGATTAAGTGCGATTCTTATGGGCCAATATGTGTCCCAAATGTATTAATAGCTTGGTGTGTTTTATGAATTATTTAAAACGAGTGCTTATCTCCTGATTATCACGACATTATATGATTTTCTAAAGGACTCTAAACTCATATATATTAACTAGTTTGTGACCGATAGATTATTAACATAGATTTGTCACTTGCAGTTCGATTTATCGCGGACTCGTTTTATGTTACTTTGCGGAAATCCATTATAATAAAGATATTGATTAATTTGCAACTACGCTAACTAGTTAGCGTAGTTAGCGGAAGGTTGCAAATTATACAATATCTTTATAACATTAAACTTTATAAAATAGTGCAGGAAAACATCGAAAAAACCTAATTATTTGAAAAATTTAAATACTTGTAAATTGCGTTCTTTTTTTCTTGCTATATAATATCTTCTTTAGAATTTTGAACCGGCCTATGCGCAGCCGTAAGATGTATGTACTGTGTACAGGCTGCTACACCTACTTAACTTTATGAGAAAATGTTAAAGACGTTTCTTTGTCGTATTAATCAAAGAGTTAGTGGTACAAGTAATACAAGATGCTCTAGTGCGAACATAACTGTTAGCTATAGTTATGTTCGCACTAGAGCTTGTATTTTGTGTTTTTGATGGTGCAGAATCATATAACCAAAATATTTTTGATAAAATTGATAGGGACAGAGTCATAGCGGCAGTAGCCTTATGGCTGGGTGCGGACCACGAACACAAAAGGTAGTGGGCTCGAATCCGCCATTCGACCATTGTCGTAAACCACTCCTAACACAAGCGTATTAAACTTACCAGGAGTGGTTACAGGGATATTAGCAATGTGAATAGCACTGCTATTATTTTTATAATAAAATAAAACGTTTATGTTAAGTGCCTGACATAGACTGAGAACGACTGACTACATGCTATTGAAATTAAGCCAATTAGGATGAAAAAAAGTATTTTGAAAGAGCATATGAAGTAGGTATATCCATCTAAATTTATAAGCTGTTAGGTTAACACGGGCTTTTTTTAAAGGCAAACGAGCACACATTCCACCTAATGGTAAGTGGTTGCTGTGGCCCATAGACATCTACATCTATCCTCGATTACGAATCAAAATGCAGATGCGTTGTCACCCGTGAGGACTTAGATGGAATGCCTCGTTTCAAGTAAAAAAGGGTTTCCGGTTCTTTACACTCACCATACGAAACACAGCAGCATTAAGCTACTATTTTACGCTGGTATTCTGTTAGAGCGTGGTCCTTCCCCGGTCGAGCCGACCCATTCGTGTACAACTATACTACTAATATAACTGCAGCATGGCTGTACCACGTAAACTACCTCCAAGGAGCTTGTCACCCCTTCAAATCCTGACACCGCCACTCTTATAGATAGCTTCATAGTTCGGATTTGCCACAGTTACCACGGTTCGTAAGCGTTTTTTTAAATTATTTTGCGTTGTTATCAGGAAGATGCTAAAGGAGTTTAAATCTAAAGCAACTATATTACGGATGTTCTTAATAGCCACATATGTAATGTATGTCCGCAGTAAATTAGTTCGATTCAAGCGGAAGTAGCCAATTGTATCTAAGCCGTCGACGACGCGACGTTCCGTTGTCGCGACGTACACGTCCGATAATGCCCGTCTTTGTCTATTCGCCCTTATTCAATTTAGGATAAACCGATTTATAATGTTATTCGAAATAAATATAGAACTTACAATAGAGGATAATGTGAGGCCTTTATAGTTTGCCTCGTTGATCTAGTGGTTGTGAGCGCAACTGGTCATATTATGGTTCGAATCCTGGGTCGTACCAAAATCAGTTATTGGGTTTTACTATCATTAAATTATGGGAAATAATAATGGTTTCGAAAAACAAATTAATCTCCAGCGATCTGTGGCCGACTATTATTCTAATTAACCAGCATTATAATAAATTACCGTCAAAAAAAACCAATACATACCAAAAAAAAATTACAAATTTAACAAAGGAGAGAACGGTCAAATAACATTTCTCCTAAAAAAAAAATAGATCTTCGAATAACAAAAATAAACTTCTGAATAAAATACTGAACCTCCGACAAGATTACTAAGTTACCGACAACAAAGGTTTTGACAAAATAATCATATTTTTACGACTTGCATGAACTATTATAATTTCTATTTTTGGTTATCAAATTAATTTTTAACTCTCAATAATGATGAAAATACCTCAACTGTTTGTCCTGCGCGATCGGGTTCGGGTCGCGTTTAGGCCAAAGGGACAACAGTATGATTGTGCTTTGTATTTATTGTTTGTGAACGACTGTAATGATATTCTTATTTTTAAGACCACTTCAGAGCACAACCATGATCAGATTGGTACGCGAGTGAGTATGGAATTCCGGAAAACGTTAAGAGAGAAATAAATAAGCTGTTTGATTTACGCCTAAAGTCAAAAGCTGTATTAGAGGCTCTAAACAACATGACAGGGATAGAGGCGCCTTCGAAACGGCAACTTAACAACTACTTATATGACAGAAGGCGCGAGAAGTTCGGAAAGCTGCAATTTACTTAGGTGAACTTGAAAAATGGATTTTCGATCGAACAACTATTTTCGATGATGAAAATGAAGTTTTCGTGTTCAGCTATCACGTGATAGAAGCGGAAGAACCAAGTTTTCGTCTGGCATTGTCAACTAAACAATTACTCAACATAGTTTGTTCCACGGACATACTGCACATAGACGCCACATACAAACTCATATGGCAAGGGTTCCCCGTTTTTGTTCTTGGTACCACTGATAAGAAGCGCAAGTTCCATCCGCTTTTTGTCTTGGTGTGTCCACGAATGAACGTCAAGAAGATTTTCAAACGATTTTTGATGGTCTTAAAGAAAAGTTTCTGTCTTTATTTGATCACGTGATGCAACCAAAAGTTTAGTTTGTGACGCTGCTCAGAGTATAAGAAATGCTTTCATCGCAGTTTTTGGTACCACACTAGTTATTCGTATGTGCTGGGCTCACGCGAAGAAAAATATGCACCAAAAAGTTCAGAAAACCATCAACAATAAAACGAAACAGAAAGAAATCATACAAGATATAGACGCACTACATAATGCTACATCATAATATGAAGTATTTAATGCTGCATCACAGGCTTTTGTTGAAAAATGGCAGACTCAAACCGAGTTCATTCACTATTTTAAAGAAGAATGGTTAAAGAAACATCCAAATTGGTTTTTAGGCGCAGCGCCGCGTTCACCCGCCACAAATAATGCATTAGAAGCATTCAATCGGAACATAAAAGACCAAAACACCTTACGTGAACGTCTTCCACTTTCACATTTCTTGACCATTGCCACTGAGATGGTTGCTCAGTGGTCTTTACAAAGTTGCAGAGAACCTTTACCTGAAACACCTACTATTGAGCTGAAGGACTGGACCGTTGGGTATTGCTGGGCAAGGAAAGATTTAAGAATAAAGATTTTATCATCCAACACGGCATACGGCAACACGGCATGAATACTTGATCCCAAGTAGTAGTAGTTGCCAAGTAGGAGAGGTGTCGTACGGTGAGCAGTGGTTAAACTTTGAACATTACAAGATGAAACATTTTGCTTTCTGGAAAGTTATAGTGCCTAAAAACAAAACACAAAATGTACAATGGAGAAAAGGATCCTGCACTTGCCCACAGTTTCATAAAAAAATACGTTTGTAAACACCTTCTAGGGCTCGCTATTAGATTGAAGCTCGCGAACTCCACCTATGGAAGCGAAAGCACTACCTATAGGACAAAAAAGGAAACGGGGTCGTCCTACTAAATCCAGACCTGCTCTTATAATACAATGAAGATAATTAAGATACTGACAACTAACTACCTACCTCTCTATTTAGTTCATAAGTACAGTTATGTATGACATTTTGTACTACCTATCAAACAATATTTTTATAACGAACTGAATTTTGTTTTATTTTTATAGAGATAAAAATAAAACAAAATTCAGTTCATTATAAAAATATTAAAAAATAATAAAAATATTAAAAAATAGTTCATTATAAAATATTAAACCCAGGTGGATTTTGGTTTCCTACAATATTTTACTATTATCCTGTTTTTTTTTAATCGACAAATTCCTTTGTTTTTATGTAAACTCTTTTCTCACTAACATTATAAAAACAAGGGAATTTGTCGATAAAAACAGGATAATAGTAAAATATTGTAGGAAACCAAAATCCACCTGGGTTTAGATTTATCTATATGACTGTTCTGAATTTTTAACGCCTGCCCTAGTAGCATGGCCACTAAAACACGATATAATAAAGCGATTTATCGCTTTGAACTTTCAAAATTCCATTGTATTTTGACAGTTCATAGCGATAAATCGCTTTATCATATCGTGTTTCGATGGTCATGTTATGGGGGCTGAAGTAAGTACTGATATCGAAGCATACCTGTGGTAAGTATAATTCATGATAAGTAAAAGGTAATATTATTACAAGTACATTTTTATATTTTTTATAAGTTTCTGTATAACCACTCAGAATAGTATTTTCAGTATAACGTTGTAGTTAAAATAGCACCACAGTCTATGAAATATGGAAGGTAATTTATATATTAATAGTAGGTAAGTACAGATAAAAATTACAAAACATGGTTTTCAGTAAAACCTAATTCAAGCTGGTAGAAAAGTATTATAGCACTCAAGGTTAATATTTAATTTTTGAAGATTTCAGTATTTCATTCGGACAAAAGTAGTCGGAAAGTTAGTATTTGATACAGTAGATTTCATATTTTGAGTAATGGCAATTCTTATTTTTTTTTGTCGGAGCTTTTATTACTACCCTTAAATTATCAGTAACACCATGTAATCAGGAAGTTGGCGGTGTTCCACCCCCGTGCTTCGGAAAACACGAAAAGCCGTTTGGTTCTGTGCCTGATTACTCTCCGGCTCCGCTCGTGTCGGATTGCCGTCCTATCGGACTATGAAAGTGAGGGACAGTGTTCCCAACTTAGGGGTTTTCTCCCTAAATTTGGGCAGTAAATAGGTGAGATGGATTTTTTTAGGGGCTTTGTATTTTTAGGGGTATTTTTAGGGACTTATATTTTTCCACTTTAGCTGATTTTTGTTCAGAAGTTTATGACGGCTTAGTTGACTGTAAAGCATTTGAAAATGTTTAAAAATTCGGATTTTAATTATTGCACTAATTATCACGGTTGCAATGACTTGTTATCTATAGAAATTCTAACATGTGTGATTATAATCTGATTCACATTGCAACGAGATAGCGCATTATTTATCACATTAAATCCATTAACTAAAATATACATTTATTTAATACATACTCAAATGTATGATTTTAATATGTCGGAACTATCTGAAGAAAACGTTCTTAACACTCGTGAGGGAATGTAAATTACCTCGTGTCTATCTATATAAGTCTATCCTGCAGAGATGGTTAATCTCCGTTGAAACTGGCGACCGAAAATGGGTCTGGAGGACATTATATAATCATTTTGGGATATTTATATAATATTCTTTCTTCTTATCTTATAAAAAATAGTATATACGATACAATAATTATTTGTTGAATTTAAAACAATAAATACATTAAAATAAATAAATATAACTAATGGAAGACCTCGGCAGGGTAGAACAAACGGCCGAGGGTCAGCGAGAAAGGAAAAAAAACCGGTGAACTATGCGGGCGGTATCGAGGAGCACCATCAACTGCATTTGAGCTCGGAGCAGACCGTCACGGAGTCCCAATCACCTCACATAACCCGAGTGGCTGATTGGTGTTAGTCAGTTCGTAGAAACATAACAAAAACATTCGATCACAAGAGTAATTTCTGTCGGCATACAACCCACAAATACGTGTCGGTCTGGTCTCGTGATCCAGGTCAAGATATTTTGTTTGCTTATCTGTTTCGTCCTTTACAAGATTCTCGTCATACGGAATGGTAATGACGACCACAAACATTCTTCTCTGTACCCGGCCCATCAACACAATGTCAGGCTTATTCGCAAGATTCGAAGATAGTCCTGTGTGATGACGGCCCGGTCGCAATAGATCCTGTCGCAGTCATTTTTGAGCACGGCTTCTCGTCTAACAACCGGAGATCTCGGTACTTGCCATATTATTATTTTTATTAGAAATGTAAAGTGGCTTTCGATAATCGATAATCGACGATTTCGAAAATCTTGAGCACATTATTGAGACCAGGAAAATAATCTTTTTAATTAAGGATTTAGGAATACTGACACAAGTGCAATAATTGACACAGATAAATTTTCATGGCTTCACTCATTGCATCTTTTCATTTTATATTTTATCTAATACATATATAAAAATTAATGTTTGTTTGTACTTTATGCGCCACCATACCGTTCATCAAATTGCGCTAAAACTTTTTTTATCGATTGCACTTGTGGTAGTACTATTATTTATTCTATGTTTGTGCGTAGGTTTTAGGCATAGTACAATTAACTTACAGTAGATAGCCGGCGTATCGTACCGTCAAATTTATTTGAAAATGATATATCATTCAATATTAATAAATGTTTTATAATTGTTAAGTAAATAATACAACTTTCCCAAATTTAAAACGATATTTCCACAAATATTTCTTCTGCTGCAGCAATTCGCCGAGTAACAGCTAGTAAATAATAAAAATAACCTTCTAATCTTAAAGTCTTAACGGCGTCATGCTACTTCAATCTTTTGTTTTTGGTTGTCCATATCATTCAAGTATAAAATCGTTATAAATCATGTCTTCGTGGTTTAATATCAAAACGTCCCTTTTCACCAATCTCTGTTGTAACAGCAAGATCGCAATGACTAATATGAGCTTTAAATCTCACTGAAACGACTCTATATAGGGCTGTAAATATTTTTTATTGGGTTTAGGTTTAAAGACATTTATTCTCATATAGACATTATATACGCCACTTACATGAGAACATATATAAAAGTAAATCTAAATAACAAAATTCGTTGTCGTACTTATGTTGTTAAAAAATAAACAACATCAAAAACAGCTAAGACGAAAAAAATCTATACAAATAAAAGAAAAGTTATAAAATGATAACAGTCACAAATTCTGGGATTCACTATCACCTTAACACCATAACACAAACCAAGACCGTCCAACGCATTCAGATGGATATGTTTGTGATTACAATATGATTTGCTGGTCGCTTTTTGAATACATTGAATGAGTCTACATTTTTTATTTCTGAGGGTATCTTATCAAAAAGGCATGCAATTGTGGTCCGGCCGTAATTTGTTCAGGTACAAGGCAAAACAATGAAGCTCGCGCGTCGAGTGCTCAGGCGCCCAATTTTTTTCGCTTGGTGAATAGCAGATCCGTGCGGACCTTCTTGTTCATGGATTTACGAATAAAGATACGGGTGTTATAAATGTATAATTGTTTGATGTTCATCAGATTCGCTTTTCAGAATTTTTTGAAGTTGATGTTTTTTTTTATAAATATGAAGTGCCACACGAAGTCACAGTCAACCTGATGATAAGTGACCACTGCAGTCTATGGACACCTAGCAACTTCAAACAAAGAAGTTACAAATACGTAGCCACCTCTGAGGATTACGACGGAATGCCTCATAGCCCAGGAATTAGACTAACCCTCAGACTGGATAACAGCAGTGCAGTCACTGACTACTCAGACTGGATAACAGCAGTGCAGTCACTGACTACTCAGACTGGATAACAGCAGTGCAGTCACTGACTACTCAGACTGGATAACAGCAGTGCAGTCACTGACTACAGACTGGATAACAGCAGTGCAGTCACTGACTACCCAGACTGGATAACAGCAGTGCAGTCACTGACTACTCAGACTGGATAACAGCAGTGCAGTCACTGACTACTCAGACTGGATAACAGCAGTGCAGTCACTGACTACTCAGACTGGATAACAGCAGTGCAGCACTGACTACTCAGACTGGATAACAGCAGTGCAACACTGACTACCCAGACTGGATAACAGCAGTGCAGTCACTGACTACTCAGACTGGATAACAGCAGTGCAGTCACCGACTACTCAGACTGGATAACAGCAGTGCAGTCACTGACTACCCAGACTGGATAACAGCAGCTCCCGACTGCAGTCACCGACTACTCAGACTGGATAACAGCAGTGCAGTCACTGACTACCCAGACTGGATAACAGCAGTGCAGTCACTGACTACTCAGACTGGATAACAGCAGTGCAGTCACCGACTACTCAGACTGGATAACAGCAGTGCAGTCACTGACTACTCAGACTGGATAACAGCAGTGCAGTCACCGACTACTCAGACTGGATAACAGCAGTGCAGTCACTGACTACCCAGACTGGATAACAGCAGTGCAGTCACTGACTACTCAGACTGGATAACAGCAGTGCAGTCACCGACTACTCAGACTGGATAACAGCAGTGCTTGCAGTCACTGACTACTCAAACTGGATAACAGCAGTGCAGTCACTGACTACTCAGACAGACTTCCTAAGGCAAAAAAAA